AAATATATCTGTTTCACATATCACCTTGCAGCAAACAAAGCAGAACTGTCCATTCAAATGGATACCCAGGGTTCTAAAATACTTGGAAGTATTGCTCACATCTAATTTATCAGACCTTTATTAAACTAATTATAAACCCCTTCTTATAAGGTTTCCCAGGATCCTAATAAGTGGATGATCAAACCCCTCTTGTGGGTTGTTCGAGGCCGCAGCAGTCAAAATTACAAAAAAAAAAAAAAAACATTACTGCCTAGAATTTTCTATCATCTTCATACACTACCTATTGATATAACTTTCCAGCTTTTTTAAGCAACTGTATTCAATTGTTCGCACCTTTATCTGGTCTCAATAAAAGACCAAGAATCAACTTACAACTGTTCTCTAAATCTTAAACTGTGGGAAACATGGGAATGCCCAATTTTTTTTTTACAATACTACTATGCAAGACATTTAGCTAGAGTTGTTGACTAGAATTGTCACAAAGACAAAAAAGAATGGTTGGCCAAGAGACCCTGGGAAGCTCCACTCTATTTTTTTTTTAAAATTTAAATATTTATTAATTGTTCAGATATAAACAAGTTATCGTACAAAACATACTCATTAAAATCTTAAAACATATTATCATGTTTTGATAAATAAGGTCCACTCTATTAGGATTTTTACCCTGGGGGTCCCCATGGGATAAATGCCCATCACAAGCAAAACATCATCCTCTGATTGGACCCTACTTTAAGCAATGTTTCATAAGGTTTACACTCTCAGGGCATATGGCATATCATTCTTCCCATTAAAAAAATACAAGCAATCTCTGGTCAGACATTTACTAAATGCTGCCAAATCCAACTCATACCTCACCTGACTCCCATAATGAAATAAATGACGTGTACCAAAAAAGTAGCCATTACCAATAAAATAGCAAAAAAAAATGTGGAGATCATGGTTTGTTTTTCCACTTTTCTGACTTACTTATACTGTATGTTCGCCTTTGTACTGGCTGAAAATGCTGATCCATAAAGACTGAACTATGATACCTAGAAGTTATTTATTATTTATTTATTACAGGTACTTATATAGCGCCATCAATTTACACAGCACTTTACATATATATATGTACATTCACATCAGTCCAACTAACCCTCAAGGGGTGTACAATCTAAGGTCCCTAACTCACATTCATACATACACATACTAGGGACAATTTAGACAGGAGCCAATATTAACCTACCAGCATGTCTTTGGAGAGTGGGAGGAAACCGAGTACCCGGAGGAAAACCCCACGCAGGCACAGGGAGAACATGCCAAACTCCTAGGCAGGGTGGTGCCATGGCTGTGATTCGAACCGATGACCCAAGTACTGCCTTGTTTTTTTTTCAAGTTCCACATTTAAGCTCATTTGAATGACACTGGAATGTGGCTTTAGAAGAGCCTCCAAATGCAGTTTTTTCTTTATGGAGTTCTTCATCCATTTTCATCTGGAAGCGATAACCAAAAAGTGAATGGGAAACACAGGATTCTTTTTGCCATGGTGGCAGCTCTGTGGGGAACTGTATTTTCAAGATAGCAAGATTTTCCATTCCACGTTTCGACTAGCAAAAAGAGAAACTTTCTCCAGGTCAGCGGTCATTTCTCTCTCAGGACACTGGTAAGGGTGACTTTGTCCAGGACACATGGCAAGCCATCCAGCTCCAGGTGACATTTTTCAATGCTTTGCAGACACCAATCTTGCATCCAGGTAGAATCTCATATCCATGAAACATGGAGACCGCTAGCACTCTCTGCATGGTGCACTTTGGTATATCGGGCAAAACCAAACCCTCGATTTAAGTCCACTAAAAGTCATCATAAGACGAAACTCGTACAATGCTCCACAGCAGTCTGAAAAAGGGGAATTATTTTATCTTCATAAGATTTCTTGAGGAGATTGTTAATAAAGATTTCTGTCCCAAGTGGAGGAGCTTTCTCCAACCCAGCCTGCAGGAGGGCCACCATATTTCTTCTGACCATTGACCTGTACAAGACTAATATTACACCTCTCTGTCCACTCCAGAAGGGAATCTTTATTGTCTTTATTCAGAGACCTAATCCAAACCTCACTCTCAGGGTTCCTCACATTGCTGTCCATCATCTCAGTCAGCTCTGCTCTCTCCATGTGATCTGAACTCTTCCAAACCAAGTTGAGTAGAACTTGGAGGCGAGATATCCTATAAACTCATCATCTGGTGATCCATCTTTACTTTTTCTATTCTTTATAATATTTTTTTCTTAACCTTTTTCTTTTCTATAAAATTGAATACATTAAAACACATCATTAGTGGGTCATAATATTTTATTGAATAAATTTTTTATGACAAAAAGTACCGTACTCACGTGGAAGTGAATATTCATATGACAACAAATTCTGGGAATTGTACATATTTTACACAAAACTGAATTAAACATTTGAATTGATGTACTATGACTTTACAATGTACACATATATATAATAGTTGAATGTAATATGACAAACAAAACATTTCTATTGAAATTCAAAAGAAAAAAAGAACAAGTCTTGCAAAGTCATGACATGCCTTGGGCAAGGCTTGTTCATGTTGTTATGCAGGAAGCCAAGCTTTGGTTATGTACTTCCGTGTTACAGGATGACCTGACAAAGTTTCAGTATATCAGAATGTTCCAATGTGCCTTTTCCGTCCTATAAACATTTAGATAACTATAAACAGATACCATAGAAATTATTCTACAGAAAACCCCCCAGAAAACTCAATGTGTCAATTAAATAGCTACTGTAATTTTGCCTGGAGCAACTTAACCTTTAGCAACATAAGACGGAGGACTGTGATATTTTGCTGATATTGTCATTTCATTGTAGACATATTGTTTATAACTAGAAAAGTTTGGGGAGAATTAAGTTATTTATCCTTCAGGGAGTTTACAAGGTATATAAAATGGTATTGTCAATACTATATAGAAGACATTGGTTTTTCAAATGCAGTTTTTTAGAAAAAATACATTTGTAACCTCACTAGCGGTATTCCTGAGTGTAGCTCTGGGTAAAATTTGAGTAACCACAAGAGCGGTAACCCCCGAGCTACACTCGGGGCCTTACCATGCGGCGTTGCTCAGGGAGTCCCTGCAGCACTTACCTTGTCCTTCGCTCCCATGATGTCCCCTGCAGCATCCCCGGGGCCGTCTCCTCCGGCTGATGCCGGCATCCGGCTTCCGTGTTGCGGTCCCTGTGACGTCAGGACGTACGGGCGCCGGAATGGGCGGCAAATTTGAAATTTTTAAAAAAATGTAATTTTTTTAAAAATGATTATTACATAGTAAAACATTGCTGTTTCAATGCATTTCACATACATTTTGTCCCTACTGCTTTGTCCTGTGCCCTGCCTGCATTTTGACTGTTCTTTTCTGCCTGGAAACTTAGAAAAGTCCATGGCGTCCAAAAACCGTCCCTTTACATTAAAATCAGTTTTAGACCGGCTAGAGAACAGCGATAGTAAATCCGAACCACTTGCAGAATTGAGTGATAATGATTCGTGGGGGGAAATTTGTCATCAGACACTGAAAACGATTTCTGCGAGTTTGCTCAGCGATGTGCGAATTTGCCTCTGTATTTCAAATTTCAGTGTTTTTGGTTTGATTATATTATTGAATTAAATGTATTATTATTATATTATTATTTTTTATGATTATTTATTAAATTATAATTTATGATTTTGTGTTTAAAATTTTATCCTACCCGGTAATGTTTACTAGACTCTTGTTCAGGCAGATTTCAGTGAGTTATTCCTAAAAATTACAGGCCTACAATAAAAAACTACTATATTTTCATGCAAAAAAATGGTACGCTTTCAGCACAAAAAATCGGAAATAATCATAACCGCCGAGGAGGTTAATGAATTTTAGTGTCAAAAAACACAAATATAATACCCTATTGTTTGGTAAAATATAAAAGATGTTGTTATGTCAAGTAATTAAATACTAAAACATGCCCACTTTAAAATTGGAAATCCCTTGGAACGTGTCATTGCTGTCAGTGGGAGGAATAGTGCTCCATCATTGGTGTCAGTGGGAGGAATAGTACGTCATTGGTGCCAGTGGGGGGGGGAGGAATAGTGCCCCTCGTTGTTGTCAGTGGGGGGAGGAATAGTGCCTCATCATTGGTGTCAGTGGGAGGAATATGTGCCCCATCATTGGTGGTGTCAGTGGGAAGAATAGTGCCTCATCACTGGTGTCAGTGGGAGGAATAAGTGCCCCATCATTGGTGTCAGTGGGGGGGAATAGTGCCCCATCATTGGTGTCAGTGGGAGGAATAGTGCCCCATCATTGGTGTCAGTGGGGGGAGGAATAGTGCCCCATCATTGGTGTGAGTGGGAGGAATAATGCCCCATCATTATTATCGGTGACACCTATGATGGGGCACTATTCCTCCCACTGACAGCAATGACACTTAACTAGCTGACCCCTGTTCCAGAATGGTGCTGCTGCAGCCAGCATACCTGGTTGCAGCAGCACCATCTGCACGGCACACTTACCGGCTGCTGTCCTCCTTCCTTCACTTCAGCCTCTCCCTCCCTTGATTTTCACGGGGCCACTCGGCTCCGCCTCCTCTAGCCGGTGATTGGCTGCCTGTGTGCCTTTCCTGAGCTACAGTACTGGCGCCCAATCACCAGTGAGGAGGCAGAGCGAAGCGGCAGTGCGGACATTGAGTAAGGGAGGAGCTGGAGTGAAGGAGCTGGACTGGACTGGATCATTGTGGGACTGGGACCAGAGCCAGGTAGGAGACAGCAGCCCCCTGCTTGCCCCTGAACTTAGTGTCCCCTGCCGGCGGCTGGATGAATGTGCTCGGCGGGCCAGTAGGGGGACCCATGAAATGCCCCTGGTACCCTTTTTTATAGTCTTTTTTGACTGTGGGCAAAGACACATGATCCCCTATTGCCCGGGGGGCCCCATGAGTTGTCAGTCCACTCCTGCTGAGGAGGAACCAGGGGCGGACTGACCATTTGGCACTGCCTGCCTGAGGGCCCGGGTCAGTAGGCAGCCCTGTGAAATGCCCCTGGTACCTTTTATAGGCTTTTTTGGGTGTGCTTTGAGTTTGGGCAAGGACACAGGGGCCTCATGATCCCTATTGCCTGGGGCCCCATGAGTTGCCAGTCTGCCCCTGGGAGGAACTCTTAATAGCTATTAAATCATTAAAATCCATAAAGAGTGTGGGCCCTGATGGCCATACAGGTCACTACTACAAAACATTTGCCAATTTACTAAAAGACCCACTGCTGAAGGCTTTGAATTCCTCTAAAAAGATCCCCAAATAATCACAGAGACCTCCTCAATGGCCCATATTACAATACTTCCCAAACCTGGTAAGGACCTCACTGAATGTTCTAGCTATAGACCTATCTTGCTGTTAACCTTGATTTGAAATTATTGGAAAATATTTTAGCAACACATCCAACTCAAGAGTTGGTTCTGGCCAGCTCAGTGGATTTCTCTAAAAAAAGTCCTGGATTCGTTCTTAGATACACAGAATATAACTGAATACTAACATTTATAGGTAAAATTGATCCAGGGAATATCTGATTGCCTCTCAGGGGGATCAGGGAGCAAATTGGATCATGCTTTGCTGGGGGTTTTTTTTGCCTTCCTCTGGATCAACTCGTGGGGTATAAGATTATAACTTTTTTTTTTTTTCTTTTGTCTTTTTTCAGCCAGACTAACTATGTCTATGTGATTTCTTGCCGGTTTATAGGCCCTGAACTAGTGGGCTTTATGCCAGGCAGGGAGATGAGGGATAAAGTGATTAAGGCTTTCAATGTGGTTCACATATTTTGTGGGGGATCTGTCAAGGACCTTCTCCTATCTACGGATGCAGAGAATGCCTTTCACAGAGTAGCATGGGACTTTATGATGATGATATGAGCTCGTGTGGGGCTAAAGACACATATGTTGACATGGATTTCATCACTTTACCAAAATCCCCTCGGCCAAATTAAATATTTAGCGGCACATTGTCGGAATCGTTACAAATTAGGAATGGCACACGCCAAAGTTGCCCCCTTTCACCCATTTTATTCATACTCCTCACGTTGGAACCTTTTATTAGGATGGTCAACAAAAATACTTCTTTTAGATGTTTGGAAATGGGGACTAACACATACAAAACCGCAGTCTATGCAGATTATCTATTATTTTTCCTCACTCAGCCACATATCTCAAACCTGAATTTGCAGAGGGAATTCTTACAATTTCGCTACATATCTAACCTAACGATAAATTACACTAAACCAGAGGCACTTAATATATCTGTTTCACATATCACCTTGCAGCAAACAAAGCAGAACTGTCCATTCAAATAGCGGGTACCCAGGGTTCTAAAATACTTGGAAATATTGCTCACATCTAATTTATCAGACCTTTATTAAACTAATTTATAAACCTCTTCTTAGTGAGGTTTCCCAGGATCCTAATAAGTGGATGATGAAACCCCTCTTGTGGTTTGGTCAGGCCGCAGCAGTCAAAATTACAATTCTGCCTAGAATTTTATATCATCTTCATACACTACCTATTGATATACTTTCCAGCTTTTTTAAGCAACTGTATTCAATTGTTTGCACCTTTATCTGGTCTCATAAAAGACCAAGAATCAACTTACAAACTGTTCTCTAAATCTAAACTGTGGGAAACATGGGAATGCCCATTTTTTTTTTACTATAACTACTATGCAAGACATTTAGCTAGAGTTGTTGACTGGAATTGTCACAAAGACAAAAATGACTGGGTTGGCCAAGAGAGACCCTGGAAGCTCCACTCTCTTTTTGTTTTTAAATTTAAATACTTATTAATTTTTCAGATAAACAAGTTATACAAAACATACTCATTAAAATTAACATATTATCATGTTTTGATAATAAGGTCCACTCTATTAGGATTTTTAACCCTGGGTCCTATGGGATAAATGCCCATCACAAGCAATACATCATCCTCTGATTGGACTTACTTTAGCAATGTTTCATAAGGTTTCTAGGGCACATGGCATATCTTATTCCCTTAAAAAATACAAGCAATCACTGGTCAGACATTTACTAAATGCTGCCAAATCCATCATACCTCACCTGACTCCATCATGAAATAAATGACGTGTAAAAAAAAGTAGCCATTACCAATAAAATAGCAAAAAATTTCATAAATGTGGAGATCATGGTTTGTTTTCCACTTTTCTGACTTATACTGTATGTTCGCCTTTTATACTGGCTGAAAATGCTGATCCCATAAAGACTGAACTATGATACCTAGAAGTTATTTATTTATTACAGGTACTTATATAGCGCCATCAATGTACACAGCGCTTTACATATATATTGTACATTCACATCAGTCCCTAACCCCTCAAGGGGTGTACAATCTAAGGTCCCTAACTCACATTCATACATACACATACTAGGACAATTTAGAATCACTAGAGCCAATTAACCTACCAGCATGTCTTTGGAGTGTGGGAGGAAACCCGGAGTACCTGGAGGAAACCCACGCAGGCACAGGCCGAGAACATGCAAACTCCAGACAGGTGGTGCCATGGCTGGGATTCGAACCGAATGACCCTAGTACTGCCTTGTTTTTTTTTTCTTTTTTTTTACTCAAGTTCCACATTCAAGCTCATTTGAATGACACTGGAATGAGGCTTTAGAAGAGCCTCCAAGTGCAGTTTTTTTCTTTATGGAGTTCTTCTTCATTTTTCATTTCATCTGGAAGCGATAACCAAAAAGTGAATGGGAACACAGGATTCTTTTTGCCATGGTGGCAGCTCTGTGGGAACTGTATTTCAAGATAGCAAGATTTTTCATTCCCACGTTTCGACTAGCAAAAAGAGAAAATTTCTCCAGTCAACGGTCATTTCTCAGGTACACTGGTAAGGGTGACTTTGTCCAGGACACATGGCAAGCCATCCAGCTCCAGGTGACATTTTTCAATGCTTTTGCAGACACCAATCTTGCAGCCAGGTAGAATCTCATATCCATGAAACATGGAGACCGCTAGCTCTGCATGGTGCACTTTGGTATTTCCTTTTATCGGGCAAAACCAAACCCTCGATTAAGTCCACTTAAAGTCATCATAAGACGAATCTCGTACAATGCTCCAGCAGTCTGAAAAAGGGGAATTATTTTATCTTCATAGGTTTCTTGAGGGAGATTGTTAATAAAGATTTCTGTCCCAAGTGGAGGCGAGCTTCTCCAACCCCAGCCTTTAGGAGGGCCACCATATTTCTTCTGACCATTGACCTGTACAAGACTAATATTACACCTCTCTGTCCACTCCAGAAGGGAATCTTTATTGTCTTTATTCAGAGACCTAATCCAAACCTCACTCTCAGGGTTCCTCACATTGCTGTCCACTTCATCTCAGTCAGCTCCGCTCTTCCATGTGATACTGAACTCTTCCAAAACCACAAGTTGAGTAGAACTTGGAGGCGAGATATCCTATAACCCATCATCTGGTGATCCATCTTTTCTTTTTCTATTCTTTATAATATTTTTTCTTAACCTTTTTCTTTTCTATAAAATTTCATACATTAAACACATCATTAGTGGGTCATAATATTGTTTATTGACAATTAAAGTACCGTATTTTCCGGCGTATAAGGTGACTGGGTGTATAAGACGACCCCCCAATTTTCCAGTTAAAACATAGGTTTTGGGCTATACTCGCCGTATAAGACTACCCCCCTTCCGAAGCAACACCATTTAAAAACATCAGATTTTTTAATTGAAATGGTTATGACTTACTGGTACTTAAAATCCTTCAAAATCCTCATGTTCATCCTCTGACATCATAAGTTCATGAATGACATCTTGTGATACATTTGTAAGACAGTCATCATATGGATCAAATTCCAAATGAGATGGTTACCGCTGGATGTGCGGTAATACGGTAGTTTCGGCTACATACAGTATACAGTATATATACAGCCCGCTGGATGTGCGGTAATACGGTAGCTTCGGCTACATACAGTATACAGTGTATATACAGCCCGCTGGATGTGCAGTAATGTACATACAGTATACCGCGCTGAGCCAAGCTGGCTCAAAACAAATGTCCCTATGACAGATTAATCTGTCAGCCCGCTGGATGTGCGGTATATACAGTATACTGAGCCAAGCGGTTTCAAAACGTACCGGTACGTCCCTACAGTAATCAGACCGCTGGATGTGTGTATGTACGGTAGCTGAGGCTACATACAGTATACGCTGGGCCAACCACGGTGAGCGATGTATTCTACTAATGAATACAAAGCCTGCTCGGATTGGCTGAGGTTGTGACATCATCAGCCCACCTCTCTGACTCAGCCAATCCAAGCAGGCTTTGTATTCATTAGTAGAATACATCACTCGCCGTGATTGGCCAGTGTATACTGTATGTAGCCGCAGCTACCGTACATACACTGTAGTGGATTGTGATTGACAGTCCACGTTTTATTAGATGATCAGTAAAATGACAAATTTTATAGTCTTGCTACTGTCTGTATCTTGCTCTTTAAATTCCTTACTCTCTTAAGTAAAACAATCAGATATAGGTTGACAGAACAATGATGATAATTAAGATGGCGCCTTCATCCGGAGTCTCACCCTTGGTGACTCATTAGGAGAAAAGTATCTTTTAATGTAAACAACCCCCATAAAAGGGAATGAGTCTCTTTGGGGACAATGATTGGAAGATATCAACACGGATGGAAGGACACGCAGAAACCCAGTGGACTTTCACCCAATCAATGTATATGCTTTGCCTGCATCATATGCCCTATAAATGATACTGTTAGTTCCTCAATAAAACAGAATTTTAGGAAGTTGGCAAACTGCGAAGTGTCAGTGTCTTACTTCCACGTTGCACGTAATTCTCATAATAATTTGGCTCACTGTAGATCACTGTAAATGGTCTGTAAGTGACCTAGTCCAAGACAACATGCATCCAGCGGTCTGATTACCGTAGGGACGTACCGGTACGTTTGAAACCGCTTGGCTCAGCGCAGTATACTGTATATACCGCACATC